TATATATATATATATATATATATAATGCAATATAATAAGGAAATTGTCGTTTCCTTATTATATATAATTAATATACTTCATACTAAGATAATATATAATACAAATAATTTTATATTCAATATACATAATACTTTGTTTCAATCTGCACTTATTAAATAATATAGTAAATAATAGGGATTATACTTAACCTAGTAATAATATAACTAAGTTTCAACTTAGAGATGCTGTGGAAAGCACCGGAAGTCTTGCGCCAACCATCACGGTATCCAAAAGGTACGCAAAAAGGAGATGTTTATTCTTTTGCCATTATTCTTCACGAAATTATCTTAAGGAGAGGTCCCTTTGGAAATAAGCTTCCAGCTGAAGGTAAGTAAACAACAATGATTAATTACCCTTTTTGTATACTTGCTTTTGCTATCAAATATGAAGAAAATACCATTCCTAGTTTTGTATTGAAGGCGAAATTACTTCATGTTACAGTTATAATTCTAGTTTGCTTTTGAATGAAAAGATATATAACGGAATAATATTTCTAACATAATATGCTAGTGTGTAATATACAAAGTACACTACTAAATTGATATGCTAAAGTTAGTTGTAGCTATCAGTACACAGTACCATATATTTCGATGCAGAGTATATGTATATTTATATGCAGTTAGACATTAGGGTCACAAGTGGGGAAAAATAGGGTCAGTAAAATTACTGTAGAGAAAGACGTAATTAAGAAAATCAAAACCTATTTAATAAATTAAACTAAATTTCTTCAGACAATCAAACTGATTTCGATGTTTTTAATTATGCTCTGAGAAAAACAGTAGAGTCAAATCTACCAGGCTGTCATAAAATGTACCCTTGTTTCTGTAATAACTATATGTTCTTATTACCTCACATCAGGCGAATCTTAAAATGGGTGCCTGTTTTTGAGCGCTTGAAACACGCCGAATGGTAATCTTAAACTTTTGTATTTTTTAAATTTTCTAAATAAGTATTATTTTACCGCTTCAGTTTCTTGGGGTTATCTATTCTATCAGAACTATAATTTTAACTACCAGAATTTACGGAAAGCTATATGAAAAAAAAATCAAATGAATGGTATAAAAACAGTAAGTTTTGGTTTTATTAACCAGAATTATGGCTTTTTTTAACGAGAAATGTCATTGCCATACACTACAATATTTTATCAGAATTTATTTTTCAGTGTATTTAATAAAAAAAATCAACCAGTAAGAACTTTCAACACCTTAAGAATTAAAAAGAGGTGGAGTTTTTAAAGAGGTGTTAGTTTTCTAAACATTAAAAACAATTTATGTTATTATATTTACGTAATGGCTTCTTCCACTTAAACATATACTATCTGCAACAGTACTGTGTGAAAAGGTAAAAATAAAATAAAGAGAAATAATGGGAAACATCGGGCCACGCAATCTTAGCGAGGAAAAAAATATTTAATTTAGAAGTAGGGTAATAGGACAGATTTAGTTTTTTTCAGGACTGAATAAGGAATTTTACTCTAATTTTAAAACTTCGAGATTCTTGGCTCAAACTTTTTGTTTCTTTTGCATTCTAAAGTAGGGAAGTTCCGAAGCAGAATCGATTTTATTTCTTGTTTAAACGAGAAATACCAATTCTTTGTGTAAAACTGATTATCATAGAAAATAAAAATACGAAATTCGAAGTTTCTCAAATTGAATTAACCATTGGAACAATTCGTATAAAGAATTGAATATTTTTAGTTAATTACAATTTTGTTCATTGTACATTTTTAGAGACCACGTTTTGATGTATTTATTTAAAAACGCCTATTAAAATATTATTCTTATTTTTTACCTTAACAAGCTGCCTTAAATTACTTAAAATCGCCTTTTAAAATTTTAATTTTTAAGCTAGTATGAGGTTTAGAATTAAAGAATTATTTCAAAGACATTTCTTGAATTAAGCTATACAATAAAGGCGTGGAATTGTTTTAAATTTTAAGTGAAAATTTTTTTGAATTAGAAAGACATTTTTATGACGGTATAAAATATGCATTTGGGGTTTCTAAAACTTAACGTAGAAGCTTGGACCTTGTTAAAAATTTTGAGACACACATGCTTAACGGTTTGGTACAATATATTGTTAAAGTGAGATGTGAGTATGATTTTAGCATACAACCAACAATCTTTTTAACTAGTAATTAGTAACTCTTTCCTCCCCTTTTTTTAGAAATAATAACTAGAGTTCAAGAAGGACCAGATAAGATAAAAGGGGACGTATTTCGCCCATCATTAGAAGATGTAGATGTTCAGGATTATATCCTGCATACAATGAATGACTGTTGGAGCGAAAATCCAGAACAAAGACCAGATTTTCGCCACATCAAGGAAAAACTGAAGCGCATGAAAGATGGGATGTGAGTAAAATAAAAAAATTATTGAAATATTAACAAAAATAATTCATTCTCAAGCATCTTTTTCAGAATGTTTCGTTTCTAAACATACTACTATTCTCATTACAACACTGCTATTTCATATACATTATTTACAATAAGATACCCCCCATTTTGAATTTAACAGACGGTTTCTTTTATAACTTATGTTATGTTCTCTTAAAAAAAAGTTATGGTTAAAATAAATAGTTCTCGCAGGAATTCATGCGACAGGTCATTCGTTTTCCCTCCCAGACATCTTAGTTTCAGTTCTAATTTCTTTTAAAAGATGGCAATACAAGTCCGTTTTACTGTTATTTACTAATACAAGCCTCTTATATTCATATATGCAAGTTATATTTTCCAATTGCGATATGCTATTGTGATCATATACCATATACCAAATACCATATAAATACCATGCTTAAAAAATATCATAATGTGAATTTTGCTGAGTGAATGATTTCGAAAAATTGCGGCATGATCTTCAATGGCGTATTTTTTTATTTACGAATTTGCTACGTACAGTGCCATTTGTTAAAAGCTTTTTGAAGTAAATACCGAAATTCTAATGGGAAGCATCTATTGCCTGCTTTTTAGATTGCATCTATGTTCGCAAAAAGCATGTTTTTTTTCTAATTTAATTGCTCGTTCTTTTTTTTTTGTAGTAAATTTTTAAAAAGTGCCATTCTAATTAAGGACAACTTGCACATGCTTTCATTCAAAGCTTTTCCGAGAGAATTTTTTTTTTGTTGAAACATTGGTTTGTTCCTTAACGTTACGGCTCATGGTTGTGTTGCATTTATAAACTAAATCTTTTTCCAGCAGACATGTTTTAAATGAGTAATGGAAGCATGGAAAGTGCTTTCTTTCAAATGGAAAGTGCTTCCATTCATTCGTTTGAAATCCCAGCGTAAAAGGTACCCATTGAATGTTTCTAGAAATTTTTTTTCACCTTTAAAAATATTGAAACTCACTAAAATATGATGACACATTTTTTTGATTATTTAAATTTCTTATGGGCTTTCTTTCTTGCAAATCGGAAACATCTGTAAGATGACATTTCATCTTGTATTTTTGCAATCGTATTTAATGCATAAATGTTAAATTCCTTTCTATATGGAATTTCACATAAATACTTTTTATTCATTGCGAATAAAAGTAATTTCTATTTACAGCTTTAATCAGTGTAAAACGGCCAATAACGATAGCAGAAAAATTAAAGAATAAAAATGAAAGCCAGTGTTGTTAAAATATGCAATAAAACCTCATATTCCACCTTCTCACAAGATATGTTTACGTTTTGAGAAAAACTCGTATATGCTTACTATTTTTTATAGTATAATAAAGATTTTAAAAGCTAATTTTTTTTTCTTGTTGGCATGTTAATTTTATTTTTTTAAAATTGTATTTACTGTTAGTGCAGTAAAGTAAGATAACGTTGTCAAAATATTGCGCACTTATACTTTGTTCTTCTTGGTATAATGGCTCATTTTCTCCTTTTATCCGACTGCACATCAACTATTAAAGCATGTCTTCTATTCTCTGGTATATAAAAGATTCATACAATCTCTTTTACTGTGGATATTTCTTTTTGAAAACAGTAGTTCTCTATCAGAAGGAGTAACACGGGGTAGTTTATATTTCATTGAATTACTTAGAATAAATGATAAAATGTATTTTAATTGCATATATATATATATATATATTTAAAATCTAAAGCGATTATTATTAATAAGACTGATTTATCATATGTAATAACGATTTTTAGCGAACAATATGCTGTTTTTATAACTGTTCGGGACTTTTAGATTAAGATATGTTCTTCTCCAGCCAGCGCATTTTATGGTGATTATAAAAATGGTGCACCTTGTTAAACCAAAAATAAGCGACGGGTTTTTGAGACTGGTAAGTGTTTATGATCTAATATTTTCATTATTTGAAAAAGTTACTCCCTAACTGGACTATATGGTCTCATAAAATTGTGCAAAAGTTTAGAATTATTCATTTATTTACTGATTTCGCTCTAAATATGACAATTTTGCCCGATTAACATTTAAAAAATTAATTAATTAACAAATAATTTTTAAATTTGATAGTATTTGTCCACTTTGAAGTTCGGTCCATTTTTCTCACAAAGAGAGTACATAGATAAACAATAGTTAAAGTTACTTAGTTTAGATCAATATAGTATCCGTTCTGGTGGATCATTTTTATTGACGCTGAAGTTTATTCATGGATCCGGTTTTCATGATGTCAACACATTTCCGCTTCAAGAAAATGACTAAAATTATATTTGTTTGAAAAATCATGAGCCTTCAATAACATTTTGAAGTCAATGGAGGTAACTCCTAAGAATGACCAACCTCCATTAGGGACCATTTTACTGTGGAACAGAGAGTGGTCACTCCCGAGAGGTATCACTCTATGTAGGTATTGATCACAGGACAAAAAAACTGCAATAAAACAAATTTCATTTCAAATGACAAATATTCCTTTTCATGCACGAGGAAGAATGTTAGTGTAATTTCAGTTCTAACAGGTTATAGTCAATGACGTAAAATAATTCTGCATCGTATCATTAATGAATAAATAACAAATGAGAATGTTAACTAAATTTGNAGCAGCTGCTGGATAATGTTGTGCAAAGTATGATACGACGTATAGAATGTTGCATCACATTCCACGGTGGACATATCCCGTACTGACACCTTTCTTCAAGTTGCCTGCTGACATTTAGGTGCATTGTTCCATTTTTTCGTGCGCAGCATCAAATGAACATTTTTTTCTTTCAGGTGTTTCATAGCTTTTGTACTTTCCAGAACAATGAATATTCTTTATTCTAACATCTAAACAGTGTGACAACTATATTTTATCCTACTAGGCCTCATGTCCCGCTTAATGTTATGCTACATTACAAATTTGTGATCCGTCCTTAGCAATTGTCCTGCAGTGTATTAGAAAGAACTCCTTTTTGTTGATATAATTGTGTGAGCTGATGAAAGGATTATATCGTTCATTTTCTGAATTTTTATTAATTTTTTCCTCTTTTTTCAGGTTTTTTTTTTTTTGGAGTTTCATTATTTTTATTATTATTTTTTTAGAAATTAGAAATTATACATAGGTTAATTCATAATAAATAATTACGAATCATAGTCAATCCCAATCGAAATTATATAGTTGTATGTCTCCACTTATAGCTAAATGTATAAGAAACATCATTGCGCTATTGATATATTGTTTACTAGATATTATTTATCAATGATTATTGTGCGATGCTTAATGCACACTTACCAACTCCGGTGACCAGCTTGGTCCTCATTTTCAGGTTCATCATTGCATGTTCAGTCTAAGGGGTGATATAGCATTTTAACAATTTAAAAAAAACTGCAACTAGCGAATCTTTACTAGATTTTAAATTCTAAATCATAATTTTCAGCGAACTACTAATAATATCGAAAATTTAAGGGCATTTAAATGGAGATCATTTTCATAGCACTCTACGGAAAAACTGAATTAATGCCAAATCTATTTTAAAGTAAATAAAAAAAAATTAATAATTTTTTTTTTGTATTAACCATGGCAAAACGTAATTTAAAATCATACCGGTAGATAACGATGTTCATGTGAAATATCGCATCGTTCATGTGAGATAGATTTTGCAAAGTATTACGGTTTTCCCTAACTCAAACACTAACGTTACTTAAATTTCATAGGGCATGTGCTAAATTTTCTCCACTAATTGCAGTACCACTAAGTGGTATAAAATAACGTTAGCGTTAAGGTTAACGTAGCACAAAATCTATACAAAATCTTTCTAATATTGGTTTCCGCTAACTCCTACGCCAACGTCATTCGAGCTTCACTTGCGTGAATATTTCCTTATAAATTACAGAATCACTATTTAAATTAAAGCGTAATGGTTAACGTACGACAGCAGAGTACAAAATATTTTTCATTTTCGTATGAAATTTTGATGCCTTATAATGCGACGCGTGGTATGAAACGGCATAAACAGACAGATAAGTTAACGTGAAATTTTTAGTGAACAAGACATGCTAATTTTGTTTTTCAAGTGAAATGTTACCATAATTTAGAAACTCATTTACCGGATAGAATTATTACGTATGATTTGAAAAAGAAAGTAATTTTATTTTTTATAGTTTCATAATTTACGTAAAGTGTGTCATGAACTGTTCAGATACGACAATATCAAAATTTTTTTGTATATCTTCTATTAGTATATTTTCCTAACTTAATTTCATTTGTTTAAGATATATCTGTAAACCTTTAGAAATAGTCACAACTTTTAATATTATTTGTCATTTTTTTAACAATTGTCAGTAAGTAGTGAAAAAAAATTCAAGAAAATTTATGGTAAAATATAGACCGCAAATCATTTTATTTATTATTACTTATTAAGCAAATGAAAAACATTTATGTTTCTTATGCAGAGTTTAGGGATCAATATGCTTTATTTTTCTAGAAACTGTTTTGAAAGTTAACTATTAATAATCCGTTTTATGCATTAGGACATCAAATATAATGGATAACATGATGGATATGATGGAACGATATGCTAATAATTTAGAAGATCTTGTAGAAGAGAGAACGTCTCAGCTTGCTGAAGAACAACGAAAAACTGAGGCACTTCTACACAGAATGTTGCCAAAGTAATATTCTGTTTTGATCATTATTTCTGTAGTGATTTAACCCACCTTTAAAACACAAATAGTTTGCGTTTTATAGAAAATGAGAATTAGATAGAACTAGAACCAGATTGCTAAGCATTACTGCTTTTGTCGATAAGCAAATTTTTGAATTAAAATTTAAAAAAAGAGAATTCAATGAAAAACATTTTAATTTTTCCCCTTTAATTCAAATGTAGTTCCAAATTTACTTATTGTAATTTGATAAAATTTTAAGTCGAACCAGTTTGCTTGGTTACCTGTGATATTTCCTCTCGGTTAACATTGAAATTCAAACTTGTTAGCTTTTTCTTGTTTAAAGTTTGGTTGCTGTATTCATCTACTAATTCTTTTCGCCAAAAATATTCATTATTTAGCAATGTTGTAAATTTGAAATATTTATTTTTCATTAACTATTTTAATTGCATGTATTGATTGCACCGTAAAAAAATCCATATCAGTTTACGGTACTGTCAAATTCATTTTTACCAGAATCCATTACCGGAACAAAATATCTGATGTACCGTAATTAGTACTATAATAATGTAGTATTTATTGTTCTAAGCACACTGAGAAGAAAAGTGTGGTCAAAACTACCAGAATATGGCAACATTTACTGTAATTTTGGCTCTATGGAAACACCAAAAAGCTCGGTAATTTCAACAAGCAATTTGGTAATGATTTTGGTAAATTTGACAATAAAGTCAGATTTTATAATAAGTGATAAAGTTTGCTGATTGCGGTAAAATTTGAAAATCTTATCTTGATACCTTTCTATGGCATAAAAAACCACTTATTTAGTTAAATTTACTCTTCAGATGTTAATACCACATATTTTTTACTAAATAAGTGGCATACCAGAACCGCAATTTCTGATGAACCATATGATTGGAAAAATAACCACATGAAAGGTTTAAATACCGTATATTTAAATCTTTATTACCAGAATTATGCTTTTTTTCCTATCAGAAATATCATTATCATATAGTATGGTAGTTTTAACAGTTCAATTTTTCTTTGTGCTGCTGTCAATTTATATATTACGCATTAATCCATTAATTATTAGTGTTTTATTTGTTATATTATTTTAAACAGTAAACAACACACATTAAAAAGCATGCCACAGAAATTACGTGATTGCCCGGGTCACATATAATGAGTTTTAAAATATGCATTGTAAAAAATTCCGGTTGTAAAAATTACGGTCAAATTGCTGTCACTCTATCCGTAAAATCCAATTTTACTGGAACAGGTAACGAGACAAAAATATTATCTTCCGTAATTTTCGCAGTAATATTGGCCGCAATATAACTATATTACATTCTACTCACTCTAAATAAATAAATATTACTGTAAAAATTATAGTACAATTTTTTGCGGAAGAAATGGTTCGACGGTAAACTAAATTTTACGGATAATGAACCCAAAGTGATTTGGAAATAATATCCGGAATTTTTTACACTGTCAGTATTTAACTGCAAATCAATGATACGCAATCTAGTACCTACCTATTAAAACTAGTAATCATTGTCAATAGTAATCATTAAAATCAGTCAGTGGCATTCGTTAAATTTAATTCGATAAATCGTTAAAATCGTTTTCTCAAATTTAATTTTACGAAAAATTTAAAAGCAAACTTAATACATTTTTTGCAAGAGTTAAACTAAAAGTTTTGATAAAATTTTAAAATTTATTAGTTAAGTAAAGTCTTGGCATGAGACTAAATTAACTATATGATAATTAAAACCTTATGTCAGTTAGAAAAAAATAGTTAGATACATTGGACAAAAATTCCTCCAGGAGTTCCATTTTGAGGATTTTTATTAACAAATCTTGCCTACATAATTCTGCTGAATTACATGAAATTATATAACATTCTATGTGTGGAATCAGCTTTCCTTAATATAGAACTACGAGGTAAATATAATCCACCATCATTACCTAATAGTGGAGCCATTAAACTAAACTCTACGTGAGCTGCATCATTACGTTTCTCATTTAACGCCATGATTGCGATGAATATAACTCCTTAAGCGTGTAAGAAGTNAGTTACTTTTCTCAACAACTGAAATTTAGAATAGTGTAATTAAGAAAAATATATTAAAACAATATTTTTAATCAATGAGCCAAGTTCTTCAAGAAGCAGCTGTAGAAGTAGCTGGATAGAATTTTTTTTATTTAAGACTTTTTATAGAATTTCTTTAAAAACACAATTGTTAATCTGGGCATTTGGCGATACAACACTTATAGAATTGAAGGATTTGTTACGTCAAGCTCTCAGGTATCATAATTTTGATCTAGTTGCGCTTGCATGTCATTTTGATTTATGTTGCAAAGTTAACTTTCAAAAAATTCTATGACTGGCAAAAGCATTTTTATTTTTTAAGTTGTTTATTTTAAGTTGTTTATTTTTATTTCTTTTAGAATTCGTAATTTTTTTAGCGAAATGTTTTTAACCTAACAGAATTCTTTGCCGACTGTTTTCTGTATATTTGAAGAAAATAAAGTAAATATTAATTTAAGTGTTGTGAAAAGAATCTTATTTAGTTGTACAAAGTACTTCTTTAAAAATGAAAACTGTTACCACCAGCGGAAAAGAAATACAGCCAAAATTTGGGAGCCACGTAAGAGAATTATATATAATAGATATTATTTTAAACAGTAAACAACACACATTAAAAAGCATGCCACAGAAATTACGTGATTGCCAGGGTCACTGTAAGAATCGTCGACAATAGATGGCGCTGCGAGATACGAAAAAACTTGAGAAAAGAAAAGAAGCTGGGAGGTTCTCTAGCTTGGTGTGAGAAGAGTGGAAAGTTCTATGATGGAGTGCGAAGTTTCATCGATTATGTGATTAATTACTATTATTTTCTATATACTTCATGTTTGTGCCGTGGCATAAGTATGCATCTAAATAAAATCGTTTATGCCAAGAAAGGTTTATGGTGAAATCATTTCACATTGAAAAATCTGAAAAAGAACCTGCGAAATATTACTGTCACATATAATGAGTTTTAAAATATGCATTGTAAAAAATTCCGGTTAAAATTACGGTAAAATTGCTGTCACTCTATCCGTAAAATCCACTTTTACTGGAACAGGTAACGAGACAAAAATATTATCTTCCGTAATTTTCGCAGTAATATTGGCCGCAATATAACTATATTACATTCTACTCACTCTAAATAAATAAATATTACTGTAAAAATTATAGTACAATTTTTTGCGGAAGAAATGGTTCGACGGTAAACTAAATTTTACGGATAATGAACCCAAAGTGATTTGGAAATAATATCCGGAATTTTTTACACTGTCAGTATTTAACTGCAAATCAATGATACGCAATCTAGTACCTACCTATTAAAACTAGTAATCATTGTCAATAGTAATCATTAAAATCAGTCAGTGGCATTCGTTAAATTTAATTCGATAAATCGTTAAATTCGTTTTCTCAAATTTAATTTTACGAAAAATTTAAAAGCAAACTTAATACATTTTTTGCAAGAGTTAAACTAAAAGTTTTGATAAAATTTTAAAATTTATTAGTTAAGTAAAGTCTTGGCATGAGACTAAATTAACTATATGATAATTAAAACCTTATGTCAGTTAGAAAAAAATAGTTAGATACATTGGACAAAAATTCCTCCAGGAGTTCCATTTTGAGGATTTTTATTAACAAATCTTGCCTACATAATTCTGCTGAATTACATGAAATTATATAACATTCTATGTGTGGAATCAGCTTTCCTTAATATAGAACTTCGAGGTAAATATAATCCACCATCATTACCTAATAGTAGAGCCATTAAACTAAACTCTACGTGAGCTGCATCATTACGTTTCTCATTTAACGCCATGATTGCGATGAATATAACTCCTTAAGCGTGTAAGAAGTTTTAACACAGAATTAAGATGCCCTTGTATTATTGCAATGCTATGTAGAAACCCTCTATAGACAATATTAAAATTCAATAACACTGAGTTATAGCTTTACATTATTTGAAAATTTTCATATTTTAACAGGTCTGTTGCAGAACAGCTTATGAGGGGAGAAGCTGTTATTCCTGAGTCATTTGATGCTGTTACCATATATTTTAGTGACATAGTTGGATTTACAGAAATGTCAGCAACAAGTACTCCAATGGAGGTACCTCTATTTACCATGAATATATCATTTGTGATATTTTGTTATCTGTATTTCATTCGCAATTCACTTATAAAAAATTCTCCTTTTTACAAATCCTATACAAAAAATACTCTATTTATAATACATTTACAATGAAAACTTAGATCTGAAATATAAATATAAGAGGCGAGTATGTGCATAAGAGGTAAAAAATATATTTGATTTTGAGATATTAATCTTAAGTTGATGCGATTAAAAAACATTTGATTTTGGCAGTTTTTAATATTACCATCAAATTCTTAAAAGTGTTTTATGAAAGAGTGTTTTATTTAGAAGTAAAAGCAATCAGTTAGTAAATTAAACGAAACTAAAGCAAGAGCTAATAATTAATAACTTACGCTATTTGCCAATGTAGTCATGCTAAATTTAGCAATATTTTTTTAAAAGAGCATTGATTAGTTTATTTCTATAATATTGTTTGCAAAAATAGTCTAAGCAACTCATGCGCAAAAGTCGGTTTGTCGATCAAGGATGAAAGTTAAAATTTTTTATGAGATCAACAACATGATGAAGTCAATGAAGTAAGCATTGTACACTGACCGTCTTTTCTTCTCAGATTGGTTTGTACTCACTGATCTGAAGCTGGGAGGGGACTGGGAATCGAACTGGGTTGGGGATTTATTGGGAACTGGGAATCGAACGCAACCTCAACACAATGTTTTAACCATTGGGCCATCACGGCTTTTATATAAGTAGTTCATCGTATCAAAAAATGTTATTAAAACAATAGGTATTTAGAAACAAAATCTTTTGCAAAATGAAGATTTTCGAAAAATATTGATGCATACATTTAGTTTGGAAATTTGCTGGAGAAATTCTATTTATTTACGCTTATTTTAGGTTGTTACGTTTTTGAATGATCTCTATACAGTATTTGACTCAATCATCAGTAGCTATGATGTGTATAAAGTGGAAACGATTGGTGACGCTTACATGGTTGTAAGTGGCTTGCCTATACGGAATGGAAACCAGCATGCCATTGAAATTGCCAGCATGGCTTTGGAGCTGATAGAGGCTGTGAAAACTTTCAGGATACGGCACAAGCCTAATCAGTCACTTCAGCTTAGAGTTGGAATTCATACAGGTAAGCTTAAACAAACAATTAAGAAAAGATTGAAACAGAAGTGATAGTTCAGAGATTTAAAGAAACTCTTGTTCTCCTTGCTTGAAGAGTTAAATATCTGGGTAAAATGAGTTCTGCTTATATATATATATATATATTGAAAAGCAGCTTTTAAGATGGAAGTCGAAACATTTTTTAAATTCAGAATGGAATTTAGTTAGTTAGAAAAATATAACTATTTTATTTAAAAATTTACTAATTTCAATATTGCATTTCTAGATGGATAATTAATTTAAAAAAACATGAACAAAGATCAAAATCAAACTATGAACAATGAATGCGAAGTATTTAAAATTTCTGCTTTACTTATCAGTAATGAACATTGTTGTATTTAATGCACTTTACTAAAAGGATGATTTCATTTTTTGAAATTATTCTAGTTCTTTCCTTAAATCTCATTCACCTATTCCTAGTTGTTACAAAGAGATCTCGAAATTAAACGGGTATTAAATATTGGCTAATTACATTAGTTTGCCAAAAGATTAATCAACTAATATAAATACCTTAATCAACCTTAAAAATATTGCTGAATTGATTGTCAAGAAAGTATATAACGCTAACTATTTCATTGTCTTATTATATTTAATTATAATAATTATGATATACTTAATAAAAATTATTATTGATAGTTTTATTGTTGGAATAAATTAGTATTATATTTAAATGCAGAATAACCCTTGTTTATAAAATTATTTTGAAATAGCGATTGATGAAAATAAAATAGTTCATCAATTCATAAACCAGTAATGAACCAGATTAAGGTATTTCTAACAGAATAGCATTTTCTCATACTACGCATATAATGGATAATTTTGGCTTGAGCTAAACAGAAAATCTAAAAGACATTAATAACACGTTATATTATTTCCTTTTAAAATTTACTGGCTTCACATATAAGCTAATATGTTGTTTTTCTAGGTCCAGTAGTTGCTGGAGTAGTTGGTTTAACGATGCCGAGATATTGTCTTTTCGGAGATACTGTAAATACTGCATCTAGAATGGAGTCAACTGGTGAAGGTAAATATATCCATGCATTTGATTGTATCAAAGCATACATCACTCAATCGAGCCAATAAATTTTTCATAGAAATTACAAGGAGACACATTTGAATTAAAATTAAAAGAAGTGTGGTTGTTTTAGTAACTAAAAAGTTTCTGCCATTAATCCAAAACACAAAATAAAGAAAATTACAGAAATAATTTATTGAAACACTTTAGTTACAACGAGAAGAGGAAGCAGGAAACGATGACCAATGAGGAAACTAACGGATAATTCAAAACTACCTTGTTGTTAAAATGTTTTTGTTAACACCAAAAATGATTGCAACTAATTTACACAAAAGTGGGGTTCCACTTCACCAAAACCCTAGTATGATCCAGGAAAAGATTACCAATAAGGAAACTGACTGATAATTCAAACCTATCTTTCTTACATTGTGAAAATTGTTTGTAAACCTGAACACCAAAAAGGATTGTAACTGATTTACACCAAAGTTGGTGTTATACTGCAACGAAACCCTAGGATGATCCTGGTACTGCGATGCACCTTGAATATTCTTTTACACCTAGAATGCTCTACTTGTTGTAAAGTAGTTACATTCGACCAACATGCTTGTTATTCAATAACACTAAAATTTATAATTACAGTAAGATATGAAACACTTAAGAATAGGTAAAGCTATTTTTTCGAAACAATATAAAGTGAGAATCATTAATTTAGGATGCACTGAAATAAAACTAGTTTGTTAATCAAACATAAGCATATTACAGTGAGAAAATTGCGATGAATTCGAACTAGACTTAACAGAACAGTAGTATATAGACATTATGCATTATAAAACTATTTAATGCAGTTTACATAGACTTAAAAATTAAATTATAAATTACAATATAAATATCCTTATAACACAACTAGTAACATACATACATATTTTTGACGGCGAACTTAAGTTTCTGCATATGAAAGGCAACAGCCACAAATACTCACTAACTCGTTATAAATTGTAAACAGTATTGTTTATTCTTATCTCGACCCGCCCTGTTCAAGGACACACGAGAGTAGAACATGCATTCTACAGACAAAACATTCATTAAACATTCATAAAACACATAAAATTACAACAAGAATAAATGGCTTATACAGAGAATAGAAAATGAAGCTGAAAACAACGTCAAAAAATTTTTAAGGTAAGAATAAAAAAATTTGTAACTGGAAAGCATTCTAACTCTTAAGAAAGACAAAAGGGAAATTTAGAAAGGAAAAGAAAAATTTTAGACTATAATAGAGAATTATTATTATTATTATTATTTTTTTTTTTGAAAAATAAAAAAGAAGATTATTTTTTTTAAATATAATTTTTAGGAAATGAAATTTTTCAAAGGCCTAAAATTGAATCCAAAACAAGAAAGTCTATTAGTTTACAAAAAAGATACGAAGAAATATTTTACTAAGATAAAGAATTATAATAACTATGTTTCTTTTTTTTAAGAAAGGGTAAGAATAAATAAGTTTTTTTTTTTTGAAAAAGGAGGAAGTGTCAAGAGAAAAGAAAAAAGAAAATGAAAAAAAGTAGAAAGAAAATTAAGGAAAAAAAGGAAATTAAATTTGAAATTATTATTATTATTACTTTTTTTTAGTAGAAAATTTTGAAAAAGAATGTTTAAATACATAAATATAGAACAGGTGAACCTATGGAACGAATTGTTAAATTCGATGTTGAACAAAATATTTTAGATAGAAGTTTTTAGTGGAGACATCAAAATACAATTGAACAAATGGTTTTACCTGGGAATCACTCATCTGAGTAAAAATATCTACCTCACTAACTCGTTATAAATTGTAAACAGTATAACAGACGAAATCAAAGCAAGCCAAGATAGGAGTTTTCGGAAGCGAATATATTTAACGTTTCGTGTAAAGGCGAGTAATATCGACGCAAACTTTTTATAGTTTCGATGTTTCGAGCTTTCATTCACACTTTCCAAATTGCATATGAATACTCTCGATTTGGTGTTAGCTTAAAAAAAAGTTGTTTCTTCACGCAACTCTTAGGGTTGTTCAATATCGAATTCGAAGAAATTTGACGTCCACACAGTTTTTACCCTCCCCTTCACAGTTTTTACAGTATAGGGATACTTATTTGAGAATAATTGATGTTTCTAACATTACAAATTTTAATTTTCCTGAAATATTGTTTTAAAAATAATTTTTGTTACTTTATCCTTAAATTATGCTTCTGGTATTTCTTTTTCTGTTCTTACCTCACTCATCTGAGTGAAAATATCTACCTCACTCATCAGTCAGTCTCAAAGTAGTTCTCTTCATTTATGATAATACTTGATCACAGTACCGAAACAGCCGATAGTCTTCTTGACTTACAAAGTATTTTGTGCGTCATTTCTACACTATTTTATCCACAACAAAAAAAGGCAATATTGTTTTAAATTATGAAAATATTATGAATCTTTATTTAAAAATAATTTTGCTAATAATCACACGTTAAGAAATTCTTAATTCCTTTTTATGTAATATTTCAGCCTTAATGATCCATTTAAGTGATGACTGTAGAGTAATATTGGAAGAATCAGGTGGATATGACATCGTCTCAAGGGGATTTGTCAACGTAAAGGTGATACAGTTTTATATTTGAAGGGAAAAAATGCTTTTAGGCACCATAAATATTTTTCTAAGTGAAAAAAAAAAAACGAAACTTATTTTTTTTACTTTAAATTTAATTACGCGTAGTCAATATCTTTAAAAAATTTCATTGAAATAGTTAATATAAATTACATGCAAGAAAAAACTCTTATTAAAAAATAAAAATATTACTTAGAGAGTTTTTGATTTATTTGATTTTAATATGAATCAGTACTTTTTTAATTCTAAAAAAAAATATAATTAAAGTTTTTTTTTTTTTTACTTTAAGTAATGTTAAAAGAAATTGTTTAAATGTTAAAATGATTTTTTTCATTAAAGTAAATTACACAGGAAGCTTTAAATTATCAAGTAATTTAATCCAACAAAATGCTGCATGTGGTTAAAAAAAATGAAGAAAAGGAAGAAAAAAAATTGTTTTCTTTATATATAATTCAAACCAAAATCGCCAAAGTTGCTTTAAATAATTCTGAAAATTAATTAGCACCGAAAAGGATACTAAAATAAATACTGCATAAAAAGACAAACAATAACATACAATAACGGGTGATTTTAATCACCAAACAATATTGTATTTTTCATGTTTACAATAAACTTATGCGATATGATACTAGCTCTTATGTTTTTAAATATGTTTCTAGGGTAAAGGTGATTTACTGACATACTGGCTAGAAGGTTATAAAAACCCCTGTGAACGAAGAAAGAATGCTTATCGGGGTTTCATACAACCTCAAGCAATCTTTAACATTCTTGATTCTGAGAACAGAAAGAGAAGTCCGAAAACAGAATTTTTACGCAGAATCCCAGCTGCTCAAGCTCATCGCTCATTGGAGGATAGTGTCTCGCTGTTTAATGGCTCTGTTCCTGGGAAAGGCAACCTTCTTAAAGTCGCTCAGGACAGCCCATTAGTTAAAAAACGCTCAGGTTTAGCTCAAACAGTGGTGAAAAAGGACACATTTCAATCTGATCCGTGGGATGGCAACGAAAGCGGATGTAACGTAGCTTTTAACATTGCCAACCCGGATGCATTAGACAATACAAACAATGCTACAATGAAATTATCTACTTCTACGTACAAACTATCACCGACTGAACATAACAAAATTGTCGGCGTGGATCATGATATTTCCCATCCCGTGACATCTGATGATGTTAAAAAGCCTCTTCTTCTCGCAGAGGAAAGGTTAGCGTACCTGAAAAAGCTTAAAGGAAAATATCAACCTTGGCGCAGGTCATGGTCAGCTGATATTATCGACCAACCCAAAGAAAGAAAACATTTCTTACCTAGTATTTTTCAAAATGCACCTCACTTTCCTGATTCAGATTCAAAGCGAACAGTCGGACCACTTCACACACTGAAAGAAAGCGATACGGAGGAAAGTGTTGTATAGCCGTAAGGTGAAATGAAAATCTATGGCACCAATTATCTGTGATATATGTTGACTGGAGTTCTTGTTGTTGTTTATTTGATTCTTGCTGTTATAAACATTTCAATCATTCTAAAATTATTTGTTAAAAGTGAGTAGTTGCTCAAAATATTGGATCTTTTATACATCCATTTTCAAAAAACAAAAAAAAAGAAGAAGCAGAATGAATAAAAGAAAATCTTACTTTTAAGGGATGGGATTTATCCAGATAACCAAAATATTAATTCAGAGTTTCGGATCCTAACATTTACTGATAATGTCATATTTTGTTAATTCTTCAAAGCAGAATTTTTATTAAATATAATGTTTATACTTTTTCCTTATTTTGTATAGTGGTCAAAAAAGCAAAAAATATAATATTTAGCATTTTAATAATTTGTGGTCATGAAACACGGCAAGAAACACCGGTGTCTATTTCTATGCTAAACATAAAATCTTCCAAATAAGGCTCACTTTCAAACAATAGTTTTTCAAATTAGCATTTATTTAGCTCTAAGAGAAACAATTATTCGCTATTGAAACTTCTTTAATTTAAGAAATAAGTTATTGATAAAGTTTTGAATATGAATGCAAAAAGAAATTCAAACTACTTTTTTGGACTTCATATTTTTGTACAAATATAATCCCGATAATCAAACAGATTTTTTTCTTTTTTTTAGTAACTATTAGACTGCTTTTTACAATTAAAATATACCAAGGTAAAGTTTTGCGTGTAGTTAGAGCGTTCGAAAAAATATATAGAAAAAGGCCACCGACATCCATTCTGTTTCGAAAGGTTAGGACAGTACTATGAAGCAAAAACAATGTTAATGTTGCCATTAGGCAGGGATAGCCTGGTTGGTAGGGCACTGGGCCCATGTCCAAGAGGTCGTGGGTTCGATCCTCGCCGGCCGAAGACTCCCCATGTAGTAAATGGTGACTGCCGCACGGTAAATCTGTCGAGTCGCAAAGTCCTCCATTTTTCCGTAACAAATCATCACCTCTGGGAGTACTGATCCAGGAGTTTGGGGGTACTGATCCTTGCCTTCTGGATTGGTTCAAAATTACAAGGCTAGGGAGTTGAGCATCAGTAGTCGTAAACCCAAAAAATTGGGTCGGCTGTTCAGTGACGGATATAAAATAAAATAAAATGTAGCCATTAGACTCTTGAAATTTGCCAATGTTCTAAAATACAACACCGTCTCTTTCTGGTTCCCAATGCAGAACGCAGAGAAAAAAATTTACACTGTTTTTCTCCCTTTTTTTTAAAATTAATTTTCATTTATTTAAATACTCTTGTAACAATTGAAATAGGATGCAAGACCCCTAATCGTTTAAAAATGATTTAAATCATAATATTGTAATACTGAGAAAAGCCTTATCAAAAACTTCTAAGTTTCACCCAATACTGTGAGCAACTTCTTATATTTAACTAATTTTTCAATAATTGTTGGTTTTTATTTTAGCCTTAAAGTTTATCTAAATGTTTTCATTGTTGTTCAATGTAAACAAATCTAAGTATAAAAATGTTCTATTTTTAGGTGTAATAAAAGTAAATAAAAATATAATGTTACAAAAAGCATTGTTGGGATCTAGCCAAAATAACGGAATTCGGATTTTTGAAGGGTGCATACGCTACCATTATCATTATATTTTTGAATTTTTTTTTATTTAAAAGAAATTTAAATTCTTATTTATTTAAATTTACTGCCATCAAAACCATATGAAGGCGTTATTTGAATAGTGGGCCAACTTGTGTAAAAACTCATGTTTTAAAATCCAATTATATATTATCATTCTTACTTTACCTGGTTTGTGGAGCCCATTTGTTTGGCGTTAAAAATAAGTTCGAGATCTACTGATATTAAAACAAGATAGAAATGCTTTGTATTTATTCACGTACACATACGTCATTGCTATCTTATTTTTGTAGTGAGTCTTGTTCTACTTTTTTTAATCGATGGAATTATGTTAGCCCATCATTAAAATGAAACTTTCATATAATGTCTCTGAAATTTTAGAAGTAATGGTGATATTAAACGAAAACTTAAAATTATTTTTTTTCTAATAAACACTACTACATGATTGTTAAATCATTGTTTTAAAATTCCATTATTTTTTAATTGATTACATTTTGTGTTTCTGTTTTATTTTTAAAAATATAAAAAATTTATAATAAATGCAATTAAAATGTTTTTATATACTGTTGTTTTTCCTTTGCGAATATTTAAGAGCAAAACTAGTACAAATTGACTACGTTTCAGCTTCCTTAAAAAATTAATCTTCTAATTAATGGATATTACAATTATTAAAAATACCTTTTATAATCCTAATAAAAATCTTAACACAAACAACAACTTCATTAGTTCACCGTAAAAGTGTTTTGTAACAATACTGTTACTCTTACATTATGTGTTTGAACTCCAAATATTTTTCATGACAAAATAAGAAAATAAGATAATGATGTATTTTGCACTTTGAAGTGCTTTACGCATGTATATTAAAAGAAACTTAATAAATATAGTTATTTATATCTAAAAATAAATAAATGGAAATATTTGATTTGCAATGCAAGTATTAAGAGCTCAAAAGCTTTCTTCTAATACCAGGCATTAAAAAAAATAACTTTATTTAATTATCTAGCAGAATAACAAACATAAATTTAATATCATAATTTTATCTATGCAAAGTTTTAACCATAATAATTTTATATAAAAAAAAAATAGTGCGTGGAGTTCCTCCGAGCGAAAGAAGTGAAACTTCGTAATGTGGAAATGAAAATAGGAAGGGGTAGAAATTGATTTTTAGTGAAATCATATTGTTTCTTTAAGGCAAACTTTATTAACAATGCTTACAATTCACAATTGATCGCATCNTTTTAACCATAATAATTTTATATAAAAAAAAAATAGTACGTGGAGTCCCTCCGCGCGGAAGAAGTGAAACTTCGTAATGTGGAAATGAAAATAGGAAGGGTAGAAATTGATTTTTAGTGAAATCATATTGTTTCTTTAAGGCAAATTTTATTAACAATGCTTGCAATTCACAATTGATCGCATCTTTTAATTATCATTTTCGAGTGGAGAAATATCCAAATCTATAACATTTACAATGGGACTATGATAACTAACGGTAAGATACGAAATGTTTGAGTTGTATTTTTTCAATATTTCTAGCTAAAACTGCATCAATGGTAGTTACCCCTTTGGTTGTTGGATCATTCCTACCATTTATCATTTCCAATCCAAATTTGTCTTTAAGGAAGGTTAATAATGTTTCAGCTTCAGGTAACGAGAAATTCACATTAAAATCTCCTGCAAGGATCACAGGCCGCTCACAATAATCCAATTTCTTCACCAGTAACGTCTGCCAGAGCTTGTGAACCTGCAGTGGATAGTGGCAATAAAGATTTTGCAATAAATAATTTAATATCCCTCATGGCTGCATTTGGAGAAATATAAATGGCAATTGGAAAAGAGAAAACCTAACAATCAATTGATACTCACAAGAGACGTACCTTGACATAACCTTAAATCCGTCGCTCACAAGAGACGTACCTTGACATAACCTTAAATCCGTCGCATTGTCCGTGGGATTGTTTTAACTCATTTTTTACAATTGTTATCCACTAAGTTTGAAAATAAAAAAATACTACCCTATTAAATTATATGTGTATCAAATCAAATTAAAATATTTATAGAAAAACAATACTTTTATTATTTTTATGCTAGTGAGAACCAAAACAATATGGAAATGAATGAGGGAAAACTGGATCCTACCACGTGATTTCCCGGCCAATAAAAATGTAGCGTTAAACGTTTAACGCAACCTAGTTGGAAGTCGCATAAGAAGTATCACTTCAAAAAGCAATATTTTTTTACTTTTTTGGAATGATACTCGATACACCTTCTTTCATCGTTTAAATTTAATTGATTTAATTTATAATTAATTATGTTTTTAACACAAATCTTTAACGAATTAGAAGAGAATTAATGTTTCATAATAAACAAGAGGTCTATTTAATATCTCTCGCCAATCCCTGAATCTGCTTTCACAGTTCTTTACCGGTTGAGTAGCAGTCATTTTGCAACTAGCCCTGCACAGCTGTCAAACATATTCTTGCTAAAACATTGTATTCATACTTACTTCATTTAACAAATTCCTTGTTTAACATACACGAAGTCATGCTTATCATACCGTGTTTATCATACATTATTTTGTAAGCACAAAAAATTCCGGTAAAATTATCCTACTGTATGGTAACGGCAGTTCTGGTACAAAAACATAATTCTGATAATACAATATAAGTATACTATATTCAAACTCTTCATATGGTAATGGTTTACGAGAAATTCAGATTTTTAGAATTATAATTCTTATTAGACCCCATTTAGTAAAAATACATAAAAGTGAATTTAACCAAATGAATGCTGTTTGTGACATGCTCTAAGATATCATAATAAAATTACCAAATTTTATTTTATTTGCAAACTTTATCATATTATCTAAGCAATATTTGTTCTTAATTTAACTAAAATCAATACAAAACCACTTCGGTAAAATTTAACATACTTTTTGGTGTTCCTATGGAGCCAGAATTATTAATAAATTTTGAATTTTACCATATTGAAGTAGTTTTGAACATGCTCTCGTTTTTAGTACGAAATTATGGTCAAAACTACTCAGAGTGCACGAAAACTAGGTAACATGATATTTTTAGTTATGTCTAGACTTCTTTTTATAATTAAGTTACAAAGTTATCGATTTCTAAAGGTATAACAAATGATAGTTACGATTGGAAATTCATCAATAAATGTTAGAGCTAGAAATAAGGCAAAATATTACTTTAAAACATCATTGCTATTATTTTAAATCGGGTGTTTCATAGTTATCTAAATACAATACCTGCACTGTTAAAATTTCCGGACCAAATTACTGTAAAAATTTATCGGTATTCAGGGCACCAGTACTCTTGATCATAGAATCCATTTTTATTGGAACATGTTGCGAACAAAATATATGATATACAGTATTTTTTAAAGTAATAATTACAGTAAAGAATCATTCCAATTAAATAAACATTACAGTAAAGAGTGTGGTAGAATATTTTACTGTAAAATTGGATTTTACGAATAAATCACCCAAAATCTGCTAT